AAATTTATCACAAGCATCTACAAAGAATCCTCTAACGTTTCCCCCATCTGAAACATGTTCAATATTTCTGATAGCCAATACATAAAGAACATGTGCTTGCCTTAAAACAAATCACTGCCGTAAGCCTCGAATAATGATTTATTTCAGAGCTCTCAGGTTCGCTTTCGCGGTAAATCGCTTCAGGCTTCAGTCATCATCCTCGCATTTTACTCTTAAAGGGATAGCTCACAAAAAAATGAAAATTACTCTATGATTTACTCACATTCAAGCATATATCGAAATCTTCCGACATTTTTCTTTACATAACCTTGTTTTGTACTTCTTATTCGTGACCGGTGTTTTGTTTTGCTCTCTCCTTTGCGCTTCGTGTTTGTCACTTCTCACTGGAGCTTATGCTATGCCTATACTGTCATCCGCTGGACCGCCACTCTTTCATGCACACGCGTATGACTAGCGGACGCTAGAGATTATGGTTTATAAAGTTCTAAATATGGATATTTTTCTTACAGAAATGCATTGCTTTGCTTCAGAAGGCCTGTATTAAGACTCTCGTCAAATCAGATTGTGCACAGACAACTTTAACCGCCAACTGCTGATAATCATAGCTGCTCGAAGCGCATTCGAGTGCGATGAGCGCTGTGAAAAAGTGCATTTGGGACACTCTAAAACGCTTGGAAATGTGGAAAATAAATTGGAGGATCAGTTTTAGTATTATTGATGACCCGTGGCGTAATTAATATACTGCATCTCTGTCAGAGCATGATGTAGGCTGATAAAAATTCAGCTCATTAATAAACAAAGTTTTTTGTTCGATCCATTTGATAAAATCTGCCTTCATTTAGCAAGTGCATTCGCGCAAAAACATTTTTCAAGGTCAACACTTTTTGTTCCATTCAGTTGTAGATGCTGCTGATTCGCCCAGACTGCCGCAGCCCCGCAAAGTTTGTGTGTGTGTTTTCTTTTGAAAAAGTTTCCCTGGAAATACTTCCCCAATTTTTTCCTTACTAATTGTATTATCAGCATAACAATTTGAGTAAATGTAGCTGTGTAAAAGGTAGGGGATGATCCCCCCTTCTAGAACAATGTGCATTTATGATTAAATTGTAACATAAATTATCATGTTTATGATTCTCATTTCTTTATCACAAAATGCTAAAACTGGCACCGTTTTGGAGAGAAATTGCTTCTTTTTAATTTCTCTTTTTAACCCATCTCATGGTGTGTGATGATGAACTCTCGTATGAGTTTCTAATGGTTTTGTATTCTTTGCATTGTTCTAAACATTAATATTTGATGTGTAACAATAGCATGCTCTGGCTCAGTGGCCTTACACCTGATTTTAAATCTAATTTTTCAAACATTATGATTTAAATGGTGTATTGAGAATAACTCTTTCATCTTTTCTTCATGTTAATAGTTTTTCAGTGTTGTTTTGATGTGTTTTAAAGAGTTGACAGTCAAAATTAAACCTGCTGGATGATAGAATGCTCTTCATTCTTTCTGGCAAACAACAAAAGATAAAATTAATTACAGTATGTACAATATTTTCTAAATTTTTAAATTGCAGTGTATAGTTTATTTTAAGGGGTAGATTCCACAGCTCAGTACTCATACTCACTACTCATGAGTACTTTTAAATAAGCTACTCTTTTACTCTTACTCAAGTAGTTTTTTTGGACAAGTACTTTTTTCTCTACTCACACTTAGGCATGGGCCGGTATGAGATTTTGACGGTATGATAACCTTAAGCAAAAATATCACGGTGTTGTCGTTACAGCTCTGAAATGTCTTATTTTTAAATGACTGGGTAAAAAAAAATTTCCGCTGAACACAATATATTTTGTTTTTGAGCAACATACAGAATATTAGGAACAGTAGAATTTGTTTATTTTGCTATGCCTATACTGTCATCCGCTGGACCGCCACTCTTTCATGCACACGCGTATGACTAGCGGACGCTAGAGATTATGGTTTATAAAGTTCTAAATATGGATATTTTTCTTACAGAAATGCATTGCTTTGCTTCAGAAGGCCTGTATTAAGACTCTCGTCAAATCAGATTGTGCACAGACAACTTTAACCGCCAACTGCTGATAATCATAGCTGCTCGAAGCGCATTCGAGTGCGATGAGCGCTGTGAAAAAGTGCATTTGGGACACTCTAAAACGCTTGGAAATGTGGAAAATAAATTGGAGGATCAGTTTTAGTATTATTGATGACCCGTGGCGTAATTAATATACTGCATCTCTGTCAGAGCATGATGTAGGCTGATAAAAATTCAGCTCATTAATAAACAAAGTTTTTTGTTCGATCCATTTGATAAAATCTGCCTTCATTTAGCAAGTGCATTCGCGCAAAAACATTTTTCAAGGTCAACACTTTTTGTTCCATTCAGTTGTAGATGCTGCTGATTCGCCCAGACTGCCGCAGCCCCGCAAAGTTTGTGTGTGTGTTTTCTTTTGAAAAAGTTTCCCTGGAAATACTTCCCCAATTTTTTCCTTACTAATTGTATTATCAGCATAACAATTTGAGTAAATGTAGCTGTGTAAAAGGTAGGGGATGATCCCCCCTTCTAGAACAATGTGCATTTATGTTTAAATTGTAACATAAATGATCATGTTTATGATTCTCATTTCTTTATCACAAAATGCTAAAACTGGCACCGTTTTGGAGAGAAATTGCTTCTTTTTAATTTCTCTTTTTAACCCATCTCATGGTGTGTGATGATGAACTCTCGTATGAGTTTCTAATGGTTTTGTATTCTTTGCATTGTTCTAAACATTAATATTTGATGTGTAACAATAGCATGCTCTGGCTCAGTGGCCTTACACCTGATTTTAAATCTAATTTTTCAAACATTATGATTTAAATGGTGTATTGAGAATAACTCTTTCATCTTTTCTTCATGTTAATAGTTTTTCAGTGTTGTTTTGATGTGTTTTAAAGAGTTGACAGTCAAAATTAAACCTGCTGGATGATAGAATGCTCTTCATTCTTTCTGGCAAACAACAAAAGATAAAATTAATTACAGTATGTACAATATTTTCTAAATTTTTAAATTGCAGTGTATAGTTTATTTTAAGGGGTAGATTCCACAGCTCAGTACTCATACTCACTACTCATGAGTACTTTTAAATAAGCTACTCTTTTACTCTTACTCAAGTAGTTTTTTTGGACAAGTACTTTTTTCTCTACTCACACTTAGGCATGGGCCGGTATGAGATTTTGACGGTATGATAACCTTAAGCAAAAATATCACGGTGTTGTCGTTACAGCTCTGAAATGTCTTATTTTTAAATGACTGGGTAAAAAAAAATTTCCGCTGAACACAATATATTTTGTTTTTGAGCAACATACAGAATATTAGGAACAGTAGAATTTGTTTATTTTCCTTTGATTTGCTTCCTAACAAGAAGAAAAATAAAGACTGACATCTTTATTTAACCTAAATCTGTAAACATAAATTCCAGGGAAAGCTCCTTAGTTCGGCCGTCCTACACACACGTGACTGACCGCTTGCTCGCACCAACAGGAGGAGGAGGGTGGTGTTACTCTCTACACTGCACTCAACCTGAGGGATTCCTATACTTTCAGTCTTTGAGGAGACATGAAAAACAGCGCATACCGCAGGAAAACAGAATGTTCTGACTAGCTTTGTGAAATTATACTAAATGCCTGAATGAAGCAAACAACAGATGCTCTGAATGAGAAGCAGATTCACTCTCTGACAGCAGGAGGCGCTTCTGGAACACCAGATACTGCGTTTCCTTGGTTACCGCTGTAAACAAAGCAGCACTCAATAATATTAATTTTCAAGTATTAATTTTTTTCAGTACACTTTCCACCACTGGTTAATATGAATTTAGTGTGATAAATCGCTACTAACCTTATTGGTGTGAAGTCATACAGAATACTTCAACATCACTGTCATGGCGACGTGCGCCAAAGTCTGTAAATCGCTGGTGACTTTCACACGATGTCTGCACAAGGACAGAATAAGGGAATCGTGACTTTCTTGTTTTCATGAGTTTGAGGTGTTGTCTTAATAAGCAAAATAACTTTTTTTTCTCAGGACTAAAAGGCCCAAATAAAAGTAGTTTGCTTCTTTACCTAAAACCACGCCCAACGCGCCACACACCTCTGTTGACGTATAAGGCAATACCCACACATCAGTCATAACTAAAATTTCATTTGTACAGTTATGATTTAGACACATTTACAGTTTAAAATATAGCTTAAGCTTATTATCTTAATTAAGCTTAATTTTCACTTATTTTAAGTGATTGTAAAATATGGGAGAAATTGTTCCTGATATTATTTCTATTTTAAGAGTGATTATTATTATTATTATTATTATTTTGAAGGACAAATCGAAAAAAAAGGGTGGTATTGACGTTATAGGCTACAATAAGACCTTTAGAATGAGTGCAGTTTGTATTGGAACCATATATCCTTTTTACAGTTTGATTCCATCTTTTTTTGACATAGCTGTTATGTAACGTTTTCTATCCGTTTTTATTTTTCATGGACGTTGACTTCGCAGAGTTGCTAGTATACCCTCTTTTTGGACACAACAACAGGAACCGACTTTCAGCAGTCATGCAATACGTGTGCAGAATTAGCCACCAGTCGCTGCACAGTAGGCTATTTGTTGGCCGCTTTGCTGTCTGATAGCAGTCCAGATATTACTGCTTATTGATTAAGTGTTTCAATTAAAAGTGACCTCCTTCAGTGACGAAATAGTAAGGCGCATAATGCTGAGAAGTGGTGCTGGTGCGCGCGTGTGGATATTGTGTGTGTGTGTGTGTGTGTGTGTGTGTGTGAGGTGGCTAGAGCGAAGACTGATTATGGATCATGCCAGGGGTTGAGACGCATCACTAATAACTGTGACTATCGTCCAATCCACTTCACTTGACGCTGCGCTCCAGCGTTTGGCTCGCAGAAGGCTGACTCAGACATCACCAAACTCTCCAGAAGTAGATCAGAACTGCGCTTTGGTGTTTTTGACACGGCACCTGCAACCTACGATGACATTCAGAAACACCTCCCTGGATTTATTTTCGCAGTTTTATATCTTTCAGAATTTCTCCATGTATTTTAATTTCTCTTTGGACGCCATGTACGACAGAGGAGCGAATTACGAGTCTGAATCCCACAGACCGACCATCAGAGCGCTGCTCGTCGTCGCATATTCCGTTATTATCATCATCTCGCTGTTCGGAAACGTGGTGGTTTGTCACGTTGTTATTAAGAATAAACGGATGCACTCAGTGACAAGTTTATTCATCATGAATTTAGCCATTGCTGACATTCTTATAACTCTCCTCAACACGCCTTTTACACTGGTAAGTTTCCACAAGCTTCATTTATTTAGGCTACTTAAATATGAAAACACTATATTTTTATTTTGTTAAAATACAGTTAGGCTATTAAAGTTTTACTCTTGTTACTTTTTATGCCATTAAAACTAGACGATTGTTATTGGGTCAATCGCTCATCCGGAATTTATTCAAAATGCATTAAACAATACAATTAATACAAAAACTAGTCATTTTCTATGAAACGTATAAGTCATTGTGATGTTTGTGAATGTTACAGTGAACGTGTAACTGCACTGTAAAAAATGGTATGAGCTCTCTACATTTAGAGAGGTAAAAGTAGAGAGGTAACAATATTACACATAATATTTTTGAGTAGTTTTAAAGGTTTGATTTTTTTTAATGGTCTACCTGAATAAATCATGTAAAATCTCCTAAATTATTTCATCTATGACACAATGATTTGAATATTATTAGTGAAATGTGCTCATTTACTTTAAGTTGATTCTCAAAAGACTGTGATTTTGAGTAAGCTCTGTTTGTATTTGACTGAGTTATTTTTTACAATAAAAAGACGGTACACAGCCTAATAGTTCAAGTAGGAAAAAACTTTACTACACTAGCATTAGTAAAGCTACTGCTCATTGAATAAAGCATCATGTCTTGTATTAGTAATGGGCATGCAGTTATCCATAACCATAAGCTCTACTCTTCTGCACAATGGTAACAACAGAAACAACGTAACAAAAACTCTTTCAAATGTCAAATATAACTGAACATTAAACATTAATAGATGTTTCCCTTTACTCAAAAACACATAAATTAGCACTTAATTTCAATATTTACTCTCCATGTCCAGCCATATGCAAAGCATGCTGGGAACTAACAATCACCGCCAAAATAAAACTGCAAAATTGAACTAATTCTCTTAAAATAAATAGGTAGCCTTCTTTCCTTAATTTTTTTTCAGTTTAATCAGTTCCTCAATTCAAGCCTCAATACTGCTTAGTTTTCCTTAAAAAATATGAGGAAAACATAGTCTAATCTCTTGGTTTTATTAGTGAAAAGTTCTCAATATTTTCTATACAACACTGAACCACAATTTCTTTAAGAAAATACACACACTATTTTTAATTATCACCTTAATTTTTAAAATTAAAATTACAAGACCCATTCATTTTTTACAGTGAGATTTTAATTCAAAGAACATAATTTCCAGTCGTGCTCAAGTTTTTACGCGAAAAAACAGTGCTTTGTGAATCTCTAAACTATTGAAAACATTTTCGCTGAAATATCACTCACTGTGACTGCATGTAAGGTAACTTTAATGAGGTTATGTGATTGATGAACATTAATGTATAATGAGTCAAGTAAACAAGAACAAAACTATCGAAATGCACATGGCCCAGTGTATTACAAATCAGAATTATCAAACAGAAAGGCAAACTTACCTTAAACATGACAAAATCCCTCTCTGATTCAAAGTGTGGGTCCAAACACGCATGCGCGGATTCAAGGGCGCTATACTTTTAGATGAAAATTGACTCAATATTTCTATATTTATGTGCAATGACTATAAAACATGTAAATATTACAAGTAAATATTAATAAGAGTTACTTTTCCCCACACAGTTCATTAATTACATTAATTAAATGTGTACCACAAAGTAATTTTTTTCAGTGAGCACGTTTAAGAATTTGATACATGGTTTTAAACAGGATTTTTAAAAGATTATTTCCTGTTGTCCTCTTGGGCATCCTCTTTTGTCACTGAGACTATTATTATATCAAGCAGTTTTATAATCAGTCCATTTTGTCTACTGAGCATATGTAAAGGAGTATGGTTCTGGGCCATTGATGGGGATAATTAGAAGTAATGCAAACCACCTGACCTTTTTTCTCAAATATGGCCATTTTGAATTGATTAAAGGTCTTGGTATGGTTATGCTGCTTACTCCCTCTGGTGTGTGTTATCTCCATCATTGTTCTTAATTGTTTAGTGACGACCATTTAGAGGAGGTGCATGATTCATCTCTCTGTGAATGTGTGGGGGTGAGCATGTGTGTGCTTTTTAATTCTTACATGCATCTTGATCCAAGGCCACTTTATTGTATATGTGTTCTCTCAGGTTCGGTTTGTTTACAGTACATGGATGTTTGGGAAGGCGATGTGCCATGTGAGCCGCTTTGCACAGTATTGTTCTGTTCATGTCTCTGTTCTTACGCTGGTCGCTATCGCCATTGATAGACACCAAGTAAGTGTTCTCACAAACAGACATACACCCACATCTTAACAACGAAAACTTTAGAGTGAATAGCTTTTTCATAATCATTTTAAGGGGAGACACTGCAGGCAAAAACATTGTTTTTTCATGCACCTGTCAAGTTTGAGATTTTGGGCTTTTTGGTTTTTTCAGACTAGTGGAAAGAAAACATCCAAAAGACACTGTTAAGTGTTTCTTTTATAGCACTTTATCTATTTGTGTCAATAGATTTTAATTATAATTAATATTTTTAAAGGCAGTTTTCTCAAAATGAGTTTTTTCTCCTACATTGAGCCATAAATCACCACTTCAGTAGCACTTACACGCACCAAATTTTACATTTTTATTCCTGTCTATATCTTGAAGGTTTTTTACAGAGGGATTTGTTCATATATAATTTGCTTGATTATATACATTTTAATCCCCAATTTTTTTTGAAAATATAGTGTTTTCTGTCCATTCTAAGCATTTTCTGAATTATGAAGTGACAAAAATGAGATACCCAAAATTCCCTCTTTAAAAACTTTTGAAGCTAATATGTCAAAAAATTTAAACAAGAATTTTGAAACTGACATCATCCAGTGTTTAGATTTTTGTACAAGAAATGTGTGCAAATTAGCGCATATTTCATTAAATAATGACTCATTTGCATATCTAAACCTAACATTTTAGAAAACTTGTAATACAAATTTTTTTTGCAATTATCAATGTAATCAATCAGCTGGGTAAGTAAGGCGATAACTATTAGTTTTTTTGTTTTTTTCTATTCACCTGCAGTGTCTCGCCTTAAAATGAGTGAATCAGTGTGTGCCAGTGTGAAATCATGATGGGTTATTATTGTTGTCCATCAGGTGGTGATGCATCCAATGAAACAGCGGATGTCTCGGCTTCAGGGCATAGCCTGGATCGGTGTCATCTGGGTCATGGGGTCCTGCTTCTCTCTACCTCATGCCATCTATCAGAAATTGCTGCGCTTTGAATTTGTGTATGATCTTTTTTTCTTTTTTATTCTTTCTTTCTTTCTTTCTTGTTGGTAATGAAAATCAAGTAAAAATGACAGACATTGGTTTGACAATTTAAATGGATGTAAACAATGATAATGCTATAACATTATAATAAGGACATTTAGTTCTCAGTGTAGGGGCACAAGAAACTCAGTTAAATTCTAATATATTGAAAAATCAGCATTCAAGACAGGATACCTTTCAATCATTGGAAGTGTTTTTGCAGTCAGGCTTAGAGAGAGAAAGAGATAAGCGCTTCAGAGAGATAAGTTTAGTGTCTAGTGAAGCCTCCCATTGTATTTAATCTGTCACCCCTGACTGTATCTTCTAGTTTTGAGCTTTTAAATGCAATTTAGTTCAACATGGTTCTTAAATTATTTTACATGAATTAAAAAAAACATGCTTTTCCTCTTTAAAATGAAAATTAGCTGAAAATGTACTCACCTTAAAGATGGACTTTTTCACTAGAGTAAGCGTTATTATGGATTATGGACTGGTATTTAAATTAAAACATGCAGCCTTTTACTTCACAAGACATTAATTGATTTAAAACAGACTGGTGTCATGTGGATTATTGTGATGTTTTTATCAGCTGTTTGAACTCTCATTCTGACGGCACTCATTGGCTGCAGAGAATTCACTGGTGAGTGATATAATGCTAAATTTCTCCAATTCTTTTCCGATGAAGAATCAAACTTATTTTGGAAATCCTGAGTGTTGAGTAAATGTTCAGCAAATTTTCATTTTGGGGTGAACTATTACTTTAACAATAATGTGATGTTAAAAGATTTCTCTTCTTGTCTCTTTTAGCAATAACAGAGTGCGGATGGTATGTCTGCCCAGCTTTCCTCATCCCTCCGATCTCTTCTGGAAGTATCTGGATCTTGCCACCTTTGTCCTGCTCTATGTATTGCCTTTAGCAATTATCTCCTTATCGTACCTTGTGGTTGCCAAGAAGGTCTGGTTCCGGAATGCTGTCGGTGATGTCACCCTGGCTCAATCGGCCGCTCATCGCAGAAGGAAGAAGACAACTTTGAAAATGCTAATTGCAGTGGTGGCCGTGTTTGCAGTCTGCTGGTTTCCTCTAAACTGTTACATTGTGCTGCTGTCAAGTAAAGTGATTCAGGCTAACAATGCCCTGTACTTCATCTTCCACTGGCTGGCCATGAGCTCTACCTGCTATAACCCCTTTATATACTGCTGGCTAAATCACAGCTTCCGTGCCGAACTCAGAGCCCTGCCTCTAATTGGCCGTATAGCCAAGGGCAATGCCATCCAGCAATCCTAAGGAAGCACCCAAGATTTTGCCGTTCTATTCTTTCTTTTAAAATTCTGTTGTTTTTATAAACGCATATTCGCATAAGAAAGCACTGTAGCAGATCATCTCTCTCACCTCCCAACCTAGTGGTTTCTCATTTTTATCCCATCCACAGCTCTCCTTTAGTCCTCTCCATCTTAGTGAAAATTACACCTAAACCCAAGTCCTTTGAAAAAAAAAATGTGTTGCCATGGAAGAGATGACATAAATAAGCACGGTATGAGATGTTAAATAGAAACTTTATTCTATTTTTCAAGAACAAAATCAAAAACACTCCATAGTGGAACACACTACATGTGTCATGTTTCTGTGCTATACACGCGCACGATAATACGTTTCTGTGCTATACACGCGTCTTTTAATAATAAATCCACAGGAAAATAAACACAAGGAATCCAGAAGCAGGGAGTAGCACAAAACACAACTGAACAAAACAATAACCGGCAAAGGATTGAACAGAACAGGGAGTATAAATACAAACGCAAGAGAGGGACTAATGACTTAATTAAATGAACACAGGTGAATAGAATGACATAATTAAGACAACTAGGGAAACTATAGGTCAAAGGAACTAAACAAGACAGGAGAACAGGGCCCGTATTCACAAAACATCTTAAGGCTAAAAGTAGCTCATAACTAGCCAATTTAGTAGAAAATCTTAAAAATAATGGGCATGTCAGTTCTAAATTTTGGACTCCTACATTTTTGTTCTAAGAGTATTTCACAAAGCGTTTTAGGTCTATGTGGTAATATAGTAGGCTACATAGGGCAGGACATCCATATGCTCTCCTAAATCCTAACATTCATCGACCTCAAATATGGTTTATCATCTGAAAAATGTATGTAGTAGCAACTTTTACTGACTTTCAAAGGCTACTGTTACCCACTGTTACTGCTACATAGTAACGACTTTCTACTTCGAGGACCTTGATAGAAATGTAGTGGAGTGAAAAGTACAACATTTGTCTTTCAAATGTAGTGAAGTTAAAGTCATAAGTTTCCAGAAAAAATTATACTCAAGTAAAGTACAGATACTCAAAAAGTGTACTTAAGTACAATACTCAAGTAAAGTTACTGTCTGCCTGTTAGCCTAGAAAAAAGTGCGCAGTTCACGTGTTTGTGCGGAGTGTTGAAGCTGAGCATTAGCGCGCTTGGGCTACTGCATGACAGATGGAGGCGCCGGTGCGATCATTTGCTCTTAAAATACTTTGTCATTTTTAGTCATACAGATAAGAGCAATGCATTTTTTGTATCTGTAAAGACTCTACGTTTATTCGTGTGCACTCAGAATAACAACGAAACGTTGCGCTTTTGTTAAATAATGAAAGCAAACAGGATGCGCTTTCTGCCGTCTCTGGAAAACAAATATTCTCAGATTATGTAATCCGTATGAAAGAAACATGCAGGAACATACTGCGGAGATGACGAGTCAGTGTCGCCGACTTCATCTCTTAAACCGAAAACAGAAAGCACAAGTGTAACAATAAATTATTAAAACGTTAATGCAGTGTAGGCTACTTGCTGTTTTTCCGTAACACATTCATAATTATTATATTTGCCGGTGCGCTGTGGCAAGCCTTTTTTTGCGTGCGCTTGAGCGCTTATTAGGCAATTAAGGCTCATTATTATGATTTATATGGTTTATTTATAATTGTGCGAAAAATAGTCGACTAATGCTTAAAATGAACGACTACTAGTCGACCAGAAAAATCTTTAGTC